CCCGACCAGCCATTGTACATGCAATTGCCTCAGTACTATCGACCCAAAGATTTGAAGGACAGGACTGTGTTTTGAAACTTAAAAGTCCATCTATGGGCAGACCGATTCATCCAAAATTATTTATGAGCATTCTATGTCGTGGGATGATCAAACTTGGTTCTGAAACCTCGAGCAGACCCTGTTTATTTATTCATAAGGAGCATAAACTCATGGTAATAAATTATTGTGAATGACCAATCTGGCTCAGCCCAGACAATGTTTGATTGAGTCCTATGTTGGACAGCTCCAGGAGCTTGGATATGATCTCCACCATGGAAGACAAGGGAGAAATCTTTGGATTCCTTGGTATTAATTTTGAAAGACAGGGAGACAATGTTGAGTTACTCAAAAGGGCTCATCAACAGGTTATTGATACACTGGCATGTCTGAAGCCAGCTCTAAGCTTTCTTCTGCTGCCACCGATCGCTCGGCGCTGACAAACTGGGGCCCATTTGAAGAAGAGTGGACTATCCAGCTGCAGTTGGATGCTGCTTTACATTGCATCCAACACTCGCCCAGACATCACCTTTTGTGTACATCAGGTAGCACGATTCAGCCACAACCCCAGCATTCCCATGCCAAGCCATCAACGAATCATTCGGTACTTGATTGGCACAAGTGACAAAGCATTTGTTTTAGCCCTAAGCTTGATCAAGGACTTGATTGTTGGGTGGATGCTGACTTCGCGGGGTTGTATGGATATGAGGTGATCAGGATCCTGTATCGTCAAGTCTGCACTGGTTTTGTTTTGACTTTGTTTGGGTGCCCTATCATTTGTCCAGCAAACTGCAGACTGACATTACTTTGAGCTCCACTGCTGCTGAGTATGTTGCCTTCAGCATGTCAATGAGGGAGCTGCTTCCTATGCGAGCCTTGCTCAAAGAAATTGGTAACAAACTGAACATGCCCGTAATTACTGACAGTCTCGTGCGGTCTACAGTGTTCGAAGACAACCAAGGTTGCCTGTCTCTTGTGAATGTTCCCAAGATGTCAGCCCGCAACAAGTATTTGGCATTAAAGTACTCTTTCTTTAGGTCAAATATCGGGGAGTCAAAGGGCATCGTGGCCAAGTACATTCCGACTCTGGAACAACGGGCCGACATTTTCACTAAGGGTCTTCCGGCTCCACAGTTTGCGGTCATTCGAAAGCTCCTCATGGGGTGGTAATTTACCTCAGCACTTTGCTGGGGACTCTCTCCTATCGTTTCTTGCGACAGCTTCATTTCAGCTGTAAGGGAGTGCGACGGGATACAGCTTACAATTCAGCTTTACAGCTTTACTATTTGCAGGCTTATTCTAGAAAATAATCAATAACTGCTCACTTATTTGGAAATACAAACTTCACATCTCTTAGATCGTTAGACTAGTCAATACACAATGGTATTGTCGCACTTGTCCACCGTGCCGCTACCCTAAACTGATAACCCCCACAAACACTGGGGCGGAGAGAGTTGGCCCCCTCAACCGGGAAAGTTTAAAAACCCAACCGAGGCAAGATATTAAGAGGGAAGGTCACCATGCAACTGGATCCGCCCGTGCTGCTGCTGTCATCACTAGCTGCACCATTGCTGATAGTGTCAACGCTGCTGTCGTCTAAATCTAGATCAGACCCGAAAGCCTGGTCCAAAGTTTCTGCTGCCTTATGGAAGGCTGCGGCCAGTTGTTGCTGCTCTCTGCTAGCTCTGTCCACCACTGGCATCCAATTTGAAAGCCAGGCTTTGATATCAGACGGTGCCATTTCCATTTGTTCCTCTAGTGGCCTTTTGAAGATGGAGTTGACAAGAGACAGTGGCACCTGGTCTGCCTGCTCATACAGAAGCTCTACTTCCCGTTGAAGCTGTTGCTGCTTCTTGATCCATTGCTGCTGTTTATCACGCCCATGCCTGGCTGCATTGCGGTCACCCCAAAGTAGAAACCATTGTTGGAGTATGAGATGGGCCAAATTGGTAGTCCAAACCATTTTTCTTGGATGTATGCTTTTGAACATGATGGAGATAGTTTCCCTGGTGTTTGGTCCACAGTTTGGAGAGTCGGCCATTGAGGAAGTTGTTCCACCCAATGTGGTTCTGGTCAATGACCAGTTGATCATACCTTTCTGGGAACTCAGATGGGTAAATGTGCCTGCATGCGAAGGAGCACTCGAGCCCTTGCAAAGCAATGTCTAACAGGGACGTAAAGGTAATTTTTATACAAGCTCGTTCGGCAACGGTTGTGCGGTGCTTAGCCAGGCAAAGGATGCCCTTAAAGGAAGAAGGAGTGTCGCTAGCTAGAGGTAGCAGAGAGGTACATACAAATTTCTATCTTTAGTGAAAACTTAACTTTAGCTGGAGCCATATTTACCTTACCTGGACTACCCTTCTGATCTGTCTTCCAGAGCTGCAGGAAGGGGCCTTACCTACCCTTCTGATCTGTCTTCCAGAGCTGCAGGAAGGGGTCGTGAGAAGGCTGCAAGGTGTCAACCTCTACCCCAATGATCTAGTAGTTAGTATTATGTGCCACATAGAGGATCCAACACAAACTACGCAGTTACAGTTGCCAGTAAGCTACACTGTATTTTAGAATAAGCCTCTCCAGCTCACCAGAAAAGACGGACGAAAGGGTACATGTACCGGTACCACACAAACCGCGCAGTTGCCAGTAAACCTTTTGCTTCACTACATGTAGCTAGAATTAGACCGGCTTAGAGGATTATGAGGATTCCAAACACACTGTGCAGTTCCCTGTAAGTTGAGTCATCGCATAAATAGACAGAATTAGAGGATCCCCCATAAGCTGCATAGCCACATGTAATAAGCTACTACCTCCGATCGAAACCGGTTTGACAAAAAGAAGTCATAACGCGAACATTTGCAGAAAACACACGATTAATCGATGACTTGAAACCGCAAACGCAGCTCAATGGTTGAACCATGGGTACCCGCCCTGTCATGTTGATCTATGGGGCTTGCCATCATTCCTTTTGGTCCAAATCCGCATCTCACAATTTGTGCTCATAAAGTTTCTCACAAGCCCTCAACTTGGGGCTTGGCCCAAACAAAACGAAGATAACAGCTAAGATAACACAGAAACAATGAAGTCTCTCTTGAAGTTCATCACCGGTGCGTCCACGAAGAAGGCCAGGTTGGATAGTGAGATCACTAAAAACAAGAGTAAGAGTAACAAGGACAAAAAGAGCAAGAAAGAGAGAAAGAGTAAGAAGTCTACTGCGGGCTCTGTAATCAGTGAACAAACCGAAGCTACTACCCTCCTCAGTGATGCTGCTGTGAACGAACATTTGATTCAGGATTTCATTTCCAAGGTCAACGAGCAACCAACTCTAGAAGAGCTGCTCCAATTCTACGCCAGCGATGATGTACCCGTCAAGTTTGATGACATGCATATCATGCCTGCGGTGGCTGTGCAGACAGAGGTTGTGAAGCTTACCAAGAGCTTTCAGGATTTCAAGTTCAGCTATGAGTCTGTCAAGGAAATCAAGCCGGGTACAGTGATCGTAGAAGACTTGGTTGTGTCAGGAACCCACAATGGGGAACCCTATAAATTTATGGCATTCCCACCCATCCCTGCAACTGGCAAGCATGTTGTGTTGGACCCAGAGAGAGTCTGGTTTGTTATGAAGGATGGCAAAATTGTCAAGCACATGATCTTAGCACTTGGCAATCTCACGGGGCCTCCTGGCATGTACATTTCTATTGGAGGAAACATGGACGGGCCACCCCCTCCGGGACCTGATGAGGAATCGCCTGAAGAGGAATCACCCAAAGAGGAATCACCCTAGCTTCATGCTTCATGGTGAGAGACAGTTACAACTGCATGCTGCTTAAGGCTTTGTATTCTGTGATATCGTAATGCCGACGTAAAAAGACTGAACCAAATGAGGTCCAACCAAACCAGAAGAGCTCACTGAGACAGAAGTAGGATTGGTAAACATAATGGTATATAATATTTTAGTTATCGTAGCTTTCTACGCACTAAGCTTGTAGATAGCCAGGATGGCATTGACAGTGTGCAAGGACGAGCACCGCAGAGGGATACATCAGAAGGCGGTAACGAGCGCATAATGAAACCATGCCATAGTGCCCTTGCCCTCTTCCGCCAATCCTGCCCCCCCTCGCCCTCTCGGAATTCTAGAGCTCTAGCCTACATGTAGTGTAGTAGGATTCATTCCTTCTTTCGCTCCTCTCTTAAAAAGTGCGTACAGTACCAGCTAGTACACCACATCACAGAAGCGGTCACAATTGCTTCTTTGTGCCTGCTCTGTGAAGCAGTCTTCATTTGTTTTGAAAGGTTAGGGTTTAACGCCAATTAGAATCCACCCCGAATTAGGGCTAACCGGTGGTCAGATGTGACCTATGCTTATTTTTCACATTGGTCAAACTGACCCATGCAGGTAGCTTTCGGGTAGGTCACCACAGCATAAAAATACCAGAATGAAGGATGAGCCATGGCGGCATGTCTCCCTCCAACAAGCACTAAGTTGGATCCAATGCTGACATCCACGCTTGCTACAACAGAAAGGATATCGCAACAACAGAAGAAAACAATCAACCAATGCGTCTCATTATATCAGCACTATGACAACTCGCAACAACAACAAGGAAAACCAAGGAGGAGGAATCAACTGGGCCGCCATCATGCAGTCTGATTGGGACCATGACATCAAGCTGATCGAACAGTTTCAGAATGGTTCTGTTGTTGCCGACATCCCTCTCTCGCAAAAGCACTCAGTCGCGGCGAAGAAGACTGAAAAAGAAGATAGTGGTGATGAAGGAGAATTCGAGTTTGGCAAGGAGGAACCAGCTGATGTGGTCGGCGGTAAGAACTTGAAACCAAGGACGCCAACTGATTATGGATTCAGAGTTGTGCGATTGACTGACCTTGTGCCTGATGGCTTTCCCCAATATCCAAATGGATCACCCATGTTCCCTCGTGGTGATGATTCACCTGTCTATCCAAACTCGGACTTCAACGAACATGCCGCGGCTGATCCAACCATACGTCGAACCAATTCCCCACACAAACCCAAAGCGCTGGACTACAAGAAGGAAGAAAACCCGGAGCCCCTCTCTGCCAGGACTTGCGGCTATTGCTGCCAAGCTCCTTGTTACATGCTGCAAGACATGATGGGTGGATCCCTCATGATGACTGCAGATATGATGAAGGATGAAGGATACGACAATAACAAGATTCGAAAGGCTCTCTACAGTGAAGCCTCTCGTATGATCAATGGCCGCCTTGGCCCCGGAAAGAGGATGAAGCTCCCTGTGTGTGTCGAAGGTGAGATCAAAGATTGCTACCCTCGAAAGAAGACTGACCCGGAGTACGTGGGCTACAAAGCAAACTAGTAGTTGCACTGTTTCAGCGAGCACTGTTTCAGCAAGCGATTAGCCAGTCGCCAGAGAGTATCAACGGCCACTGAACTCAGAAATGTTCATCGCCACAAAGTAGGATAATGTCTAGTAAAAGTGATCATGTCTGTTACTGGTAACGTTTGGAACTAGTTTCTTAGAATGTAAATGCACTAGTTGTAAATGTCGTTGTCGCTGCTGTCATAGAAAGTACCGGTATTTTTCTTCTGCACATCATCGCTGTTCGAAGATTTGGTGGATTGGTCATCTCCCTCCTCGTTGTTATTGTCCTTGTCCTTTCTCTTGCGCTTTCGAGTCTCTATCTCTGGCTTCCCATAAAGCTTTCGAAGAGTTTTCCACAAAGGGGCACTCCTGCAGATTGATCGTGGTCCCTTGCAGTGATGACGATCTCGCAGTTGCCACAGAGCCACACCATCAGGATGATGTGCGATTTGAAAACAAGTCTTGTCCTGGAATTGCTGGAGATTGTGGATGTGTCGATCTGAGTCCGAGATAATGTGGTTGTGAGCAAAGATACCGCAAATCGAACACATTGACAAGCCAGACCTGATACCGGCCTCGCCCAATTTTGGATTGAACCATTGCCCACTCTCTAAGCGGCAAACAATGCAACGCTGTCTATTGTTTGCTTTCATCTTGGGTTGGAGAGGAAGGTGGTCTTTCATGGGATCGTTCTCTGGTGTGTTGTCGGGATCAGCGGCTTCAGGTTCATTGTAATCTAAAAGGCACTCTGCTACAAACAGCATGAACTCATGCCGCTTCAGCGCATTCCTGGGTGAAGTTTTTTCCTGCACAGACAAGTTCCATGCAATGTGCGCATTCATCAGCATGACATCAAGAATAGCAAGGAACACTCGCTTATACCATTTTTTGAAGTGCGCTTTAGTTGAGAAGCCTCCGAAATGGGCGCGCATCTCATCACCTTTGTCGACACCAAACATTGTTTTTTGGTAGCCAATCATTGCTGCCGGACAATCCAGCTGTCTGGACATTGGACCAATCTGCCTCTTCACTGTACCAACAGTAGTATCATTCTTGGTGGTGACCATCGTAACTACTTTGTTGTCAACCCACTGCATCATTAGCAATCGATTTACTCGATCAGCGACAATCTTGTACTCACCGCGACCGTCTTTCTTTTCTAAGTCGAGAAGATCTGGAAATCCCTTCCTTCTTCGTCGACATGTCCCAGTACTGTGACATCCACACTTTGTCAGTAAAAGAACAGCAAGCTCGGGGCACATGTACCGGTTATCCATTGCAATGTGTCGAGATCCCCCACCATCGTCTCCAAAGGTAGACATGACAGAATTCATCACAGCTTTCTGAGTTGTCGGAAGGTCTTGGATCGATTCGTCAATGCCAATATTCTTGGCATTCCTTCCCTGGTACACATCAATGTGCAAGATCGCGTAAGTCTTTGAGCATGCCAGTATGAAGAAGTCAACTCTGAACTTATTGGGCTTGTCCTTGTTGTATTGCCTTACAGGACAGAACCTTGAGCGGCAAGCCACGCCACCTTCGTCGAAGGCGCAAAAAGGACCAGCATCGAATGTGGATTTAGAAGCCGTATTTGTTGAGTTTATTGCCCTCCTCAATTGATAACACTTGTCGCTCGCACCAGCTGCCATTTCTTTATCCTCAGGATGAAAAGCAGCTCTTATTTGCTTGAAGCGAAGCAATGTCATGTACTGAAAAGCCCAGCCTTCACTATTCTTGATTTCCTTGGGTTTTGCGTTGTTGCTGTAATTGATGCCTATTGGTTCTTTTTCGAAGTATGCGTTGTAGCCACCACCATCAACAGGAGACAGTGATATTTTCAACAAGATGCCCAGGAATACATGCATCTCTTTTACATTTATGTCTTTCCATTTCCCACCACACAACTTCTTCTTTCGGTCTTTGTCTAGCAGATGATTCTTTGCATAGTCGTTCGATTCTCTTGTCAACACAGTCACAAAATCCCTGCTGCACCCAAGAGCTTGGAAGCACTGGAATGGATCGTTCCATCTCCTTCTTACACCAGACTTCAACTTAGTCTTCTCCTTTCGCATGTTTTTATTGTCCGTAAAAGGAACCTCTCCAGGCACAACTGATTGGAACTTCCATTGAAGCTTCTGTGCTAGTTTGCCATATGTATCTTCTCTGGGGATGGTTGTTCCGTCAGTTGCTTGAATTTCGTAGATATCTTCATCACTATCGTACCCTTCACCCATGGGTGTTGCATTGAATGCATCATCATGTTGATCCAACTCCTCGCCATCATCAGAGTCAGACTCATAACCATCAACATCGTCACCTCTTGTAATGCGTCTACTCTCTCTTGCTTCAGACACAGCGTTCACACTGCTGCCTGTTGAACACGCAGTTTTTAGACTGGCATAAGCTTGTGCCCTTTCTTCGCTTGTTGGCAACACATTCCCTTTCTTTGGTTTGGCGGCAGGTGTCTTGACTGTTGGCTCTGCTGAAGTCGGTATTGTACTCTGGCTATCTGCGGGAGTGCTTTCAAGATCCATTGACAGCTGGCTCTTTTCTCTTTCGTATGCCATTATCAGACCTTTCAGCTTGCTTCGAAAGTCTGTTGAATTGTCTTTGTAATTCTGCGTCCATCGGACATCCAAGAGGGTACCTGCTGTAATCCATCTAAAACACCATCTTTTACCATTCTTTGCCGTAGGGCATTGTGTGACCTTCCCCACGATATCCAAATTGTTCTGGGGGTATCTTTGGAGGAAAGCTTCTCTGTGAGTTTCGTCAAGAAACAGATTACTGTTGCACTTGAAGTGTCTGCCGGAGAAGGAGAATGTTTGCCTCTTCTTCTTTGCGTTGGCTGTGGCTGTGGTATCTTGGGTATCTTGGGTTTCGGCCTGTTGCGGGACCACTTCCTCGTCTTCATTTGCTTGATTTGGGGGGCCTGTAACATGCGACGCAGCACCAGTGATGAGATCTCCAATGTCCAGAGCCTCCCTTACTATACTATTAGCGGATTCCCCACTATGCGGTCCACTCTGCCTTCCCAGAGGCGGCATGGGAGGGTCGGTCATGGTGTTGCTTTGATTCGATGCCACTTTTGCTTGCGATGTCCCTACCTTTAGGCTGCCACAGCGCCTCTCTGGTTAGAGATAGCCCATAGTGACCCATATATACAGAGAAGCAGTTTTCAGCGCTCTTTCGAATGGTGCTATCTAGAATGTCTATAGTTGGACTTCTGAGGTAGGTATGCTTTAACCAAGTCTGCATAGGTCGTATGTGACCTATGTAAGTTCTACGTAGGTCGTATATGACCGCCGCCTCTGATTGGCGTTAATCAATTTCGGAATCGAATCAATCAGCATCAGCTACAGAATCGAATCTCTAGCCGATTCGATTCGAAATCGAAGTAGTTTTCTCCTCCTCGAGCACGATAAGGGTATTTTAGGAGCCCCCTCCCTTCCCCAGCAATCGATGCCCATCTATTATAAAGAGAGCCTTGAATCGAATCTCCGGGACAAAATCAATCGCTAATGTAGTTATCATTGTAAGAAGGAAGCAAGCTTGGGCCAAGCTTTAGCGAACCAAAAGACAGCACTCGGGACAAACATCCGTGGCCAGCCGATGGGTCGGGAGCACAAAGGAGGCGCCGTGCTGGAAAATACACGGCTTGAGGAGAAGTTGGAATGGAGGGATGTTTCTTCTTATTGGTACAATGCCATAATGAAAAGAAGACACGACATTGTGGCAGGTAGCAACCAAGCTACGTTTTGTAGCCATTGGCTCGCCAATACCTCCATGTTTCGTTGCCCCGCAGCCAACCTACGGACCGTGGATGATTCTTCGAGGGAGGAGGAAATAATAGTCGAAGTTTCCTGAGAATCAAGAATGCAAGGGGTTTCCAGCCGTCCACCGATGGCAACATAGAATTGTGCAGCGCCTGTCAGGTTGCCAGAAGTAGTTTTGACAACCTCCTTGATGATCTTCCCATTCTTCATTGTAAATATGACTCTCTCTGGGTCCAACACAACATGCTTGTCGGTGGACTGAATTGGTGGGAATCCACCAAACGTGTAAGGCTTCCCGTTGTGGGTTCCTGACACCACCAACTCGTCTACCAGTACGACGCCAGGTTTAATTTCCTTGACAGAGTCATAGCTGAATTTGAAATTGGTGAAGCTCTTGCAGAGGATGACAATATCTGAATTCTTTGCCATGGCAGTAAAGGGAGCCATTTCATTGCGGCAGATGGGAACCTCATCATTTGCATAGAACTGCAGCAGCTCTTCTACAGATGCATGTTCATTGACCTTGGCAATGAAATCCTGGATATTCTGCTCATTCTCGTTGACTGGGATGGATGTTTCAGTTACTTCCACCGGGATGGAAGTGTCAGTTCTTGTTCTTGCACCAACAGAAACCTTGGATGTATTTCCCAATCTATCCTTCTTGCTCTTTCTCTCCTTTTTGCTTTTTAGTCGCTCCTCTTGCAGTGGTGCTGCGAGTATGTTCATGTTGCAGGGCCTGTCAGGTTTCCAAGGGCTGTGACTGTCTGCTTGGCAATCTTTTTACCCTCCATGGTAAACCAGACTCTTTCCTCCAGCTCCACACGCTTTCCAGTGGCTGCAATGGCTGGGAATTGTTCAAACTTGTATGGCTCCCCATTGTGAGTCCCTGCGACGTAGAGGTCCTCCATCAATACTAAGCCAGGTTTGACCTCCCGGATGTAACCATAGCTGAACTTGAAATCCTTAAAGCTCTTGGTCAGATTCACAATCTCCGTTTGAAGAGCCATGGCAGTCATGGGAGCCAAGTCATCGTACTTGATCAGTACATCTTTGCTGGTATAGAACTTGACCAAGTCCTTGGCAGAGCATTTGTGAGCATTCACCCTAGCCGCGTACTTTTCAATAATTCGCTCGTTTGGGGTTCCAGTGCCGGAGGAAAAAGTGGTGCTTGTGCTGGATCTACGCGACTTGAAAGTCTTGCTGCTGCTTCTTCGTTTCCCTTCCTTGCTTGCCTTCTCATCCCGGCTGCGATCCCTGTTAGGAGTGTCATGGTCGGCCTTTGTGGCCTTGCGGCTTGACATCCGATTCACGAGCTTTGATACGGCTACCATTCTATCTGTCTATCTGCTTTTTGGGTTTCAATGCTCCAGCATTGGGAATTGTGGGCTTGATGGGTGGCACTAGTCTACTCCACCACTTCAGAAAGATTCGAGTCCGTGTGCCGTGTTCCGGCACAAAATTTGATGTCTGCTCACCAGCTGCCCTTGGTCGGGGATTGGGATATTGGGATGGTCTGAGAAACGGAAGCAAGGCACAATCAGGAACACCCAAGAGATAGTACGATTTAGGATCATTCTCATTCTGATCAAAAATGTTGAGAAACCTTCTGACATTGATCAAAATTAATACTCCTACCAGTTTCCAAAAAGACAGTCATGGCCTATCCACTGACATTCTCCGAAGTTCTCGTAGACATATTATTTATTAGGTAAGGCTTGATCGTGCTCGTTTCTGAGTTCCAATTGTCGCCAGTGCTCCAGTTAAGAAAAGACGAAGTCAGTGGCCGCAGTGTGATGACTCTCGAGCTCTCGAGCTCTCGAGCTCTCGAGTCACTCAGCACTTCCCACTCAATCTCGTTTCTCGTTTCCTCGCTCTGCGCGGGCGATCCGTGGTTGCCCACGTAAAAAGATCCAAGACGTGATTTTGGAAACACACAAAACGATCCATGGCCGCGATCGGCTCATCAAAAAGCCAAGGCGCGGGTCAACTGCTCCCGTTCTTCATAGGTAGAGAGATGGATGGATAGAAGACGACAATGAAGGAACCAAGCTTTCATGTTGATTGCAAAGTAAAGCCTTCCAAGGAGCTGGAGCCACGTGACGATGTCGACCATGCTACCAGTACCCAGAAGCTGGAGGAAGGGCTGGGCGGCTGAGACTGTACCAAGTCAAAACTGCATCTGTCAACGATGGCAAGCAAGATGGACCAAGAGGAACAATTGACAAAAGAAATGTAGCCCGAAAGTTCGGAAGAGACTCTGGAGGATGCATCCAAAAGCCAGGAGAGGGCGGCTCCTCTGATGAAGTCAAGCCGTCGCTACTATTTCCCCGTGTTGTGCTTGGGAGTAGTTCTTGATGTGATGTTGCTGGTGATTGGGCTTCGTATTGGCCCCATGAATCACGAAAGGATTCATCGGCTATTTGTAGGTGGCACCATTGCGTTGGTTTGATGGCTGGCGCTGCTGGTCGCCGTGGCTGTATTTGTGCGGTACAAACTCCAAGACGACAAGGAACAAGCCTGGAGAACAGCTTGGAGCGGTGCCATTGTATTGGTGGTGGTGCTAGCCTTTGTCCTCTTGCGTTGAGCGATCGAGTGACAGTCGAATCAAGATTTGAACTGGGTGGCTGGCAAAAGTACCCATATAGCTAGCATGGGCCCTTCTTTGCCTCCAGCTTGATGCCGTTACTAGACTAGCGTGGCAAAATAGGTTAATAGCAATAGTCTGAGCAACGCAACAGCAGGCGATTCGGGCTCGCATGCATGGTTTTGGCGGCCTCGCTGCCTCTTGTGCCATACATTGCGGTCCTTTTCTTCAGTGCAAAAGGGTTGCCAGGGAAGTATCCACAAAGCCGGCAGAGGGTGAGGCTTAGCTACCGTAGGAAAAGAACAGGGAGCCGAGTCAATTGCTGTCCCATGAAGCACGGTGAAGATAGAAATCGAGAGCCATCTGCATCCAGGTAATAAAACGCCCCCAACAAACCTCATTGTTACTTTGATATAGCTACCAGGGTAGCCATAGGGAAGGGAAGTTATCTAGGGCGGCCAACAGTGAGTTTGGCTTCGGAAAAGAAGAGGCCAAATAGGGGACTAGGTTCCCTGGGATCAGGGACGACCTCAGGTTTCGAAAGACGTTCGTTTTCCTTGGACTGATAGCGGTCTCTTTACCTTTCCGTGACTTGTCGGATGGCCACAGCTACGGATCAACTGTTCCGTTCTAAATGGCTTTGACAAAGGTCTGTCTCCTCGACATTGCATCATTGCTGCGTGTGGCATGTTAATTTTAAAAAGGATGCGATGCAAACCGGCGATTGATTTCTTCGCTGTATGCATAGTAGATTGTTTGTCTCTCTCTCTCTTTATAATATTTCCTTCGTTTGGTTATTTTTCCAAAAGGACTTTATGAATTGGATCCAATGCTGTGCCGTCAATCGTTCGTAACGATATTCTTTGGCCTTGGCAATGATGCGTTGATATTCTTGTTCGAGCCATTCCGGTGTGACATTGTCATGAGAATCAATCCATGCGACGGGCAATCCTTGAAAGGATCGGTACCATCCATCGGTTCGATTCAAATGCTCAATAACAGGAATGGTGCCTAAATACATGGCTTCCCAATGACGATAACAATCCAATCCCAACCCGCCCGGACTGAGAATGAATTTGGAACGCATCATTTCTTCAAAAAAGGACTTTTCGGCGGCTTTGCCCTTGCCAAATGTATTGCGTACGGTTCCTTGAAAGTTGCGAATGACGGCTTCCATGGCTTGTTTGCGCATGGGTCGTCCTTTGCAATTGAGCATGAGTAGTTGAGTGCGTGGTTGTTGGTGGTGTTGATCTAGAAAATCGAGCATAAACTTGATTTTGTCGGGTGTCCGTACTCCCAATGGCAAGGAATGTACCTTGGGATGATCTCCAAAGAGCTGAAACTGTGTAGTGACCGCCAAGAGTGTCTCGGGATGATTGATGTATTCCCAAATGGTACTATTCTTGCATCCCTCCTTTTTCCAAGTGGCCATCAAGTCGGGAACCCAATCGGTGGTTTTACCAGGAATCTGTTGGGAAAATCCACCCCAGTTTTCGTCCATGCGAAAAAAGGCAATGTGCGGATAGGGCGTTGCGTTGAGTTGTCGTCGATAGCGATTAAAGTTTTTTGCCAGAATGCAAATGGATCCAATTTTCAAGTACTTGTAGCCCTTGTCGTGGTAGTCTTGAATATCTAGTATTTGGGAGCGGGATTCGGTCTTGTTGACTCTCCAAAGTTGGGCTTGATCAAAATGCTGCAGGAATTGTTCAAACTTTTGTCGTGTGGCCCAGTAAATGACGTTGGTGTGCCGAAAGTTCCCAAAGAGTTCTTGCATTTGCTGGTAGTGATAGTCGTAAAAGTCACGTTGGTTCTGGGAGATTGTAGATATCACTTGGGTATGATTATCTTCCCTGAATACATGTACCGGTACCGGTAGTACTGAGGGTATCACAGGGGTAGCAGGGGTATCTGAATCTTCTCTTAATAGTGCTGAGGGTAGCATAGGGGTAGCATTTTCCAGTCTGGTGGTACCATTATCTTCTTCCTCTTCTTCGTCATTGTCATCGTCATTGTCTATACTAGTAGCTATAGGAGTATCCAGGTTGACTTCGATTATCATTTGTGCAGCTTGAAGCTCTGCCCCTGTGGTTCTTGACAATTCTTCCTTTTGCAGTTTTTCGTTTACCAGAAAAGAACGAAAGCTCATCAAAACCAAAACTGCTATTATGCAGCCGACGGTCTTCATTGATATTGATGGCATCGTCTTCTCTATCTACCGGTATACCGCAATGCAACCATCTGCCGTCCATGGCATTTCTTGCTTTATGATCAACGGTGGTCAGGAACCGCGCCTCGAGCATCCAAAAGCAACTTTACCTCTATCCTTAATCTGCATGGTCAATGAGACACGAGCTTTGGGTACGATTGTACCGGTACCAAGAAAGGACAACAAGGCTATCCATCGACGGTGTAGAGAGCTATTAATAGCTTGTAGCCAATTGCGTCCAGACTGTCACTCAGTTCCTTTCAACCTCTACGGGTGTATACATACATATAAGGTAACATCGCTTCAGGTTGGCAACGTACACGTACATTGGGTGCAAGCATGTGCTTGTTCATCAGTCATATGCATAATTGAATATTATCTTATCTTTGTACTTCTACTGTACGATACTACGACTCATGATCCTGGTTGTACAGTTTGCTTCCATCGACCTCCTCATCATCAACACCCAGCATGCAGCCAGCACTCAATCACCGTTTTCTTGCTTTGGTTTATTCTCCAGGTGGCGTGGCAGGGGGCATGTCCATCGTACCTCCAACTGACAAGTACATACCAGGGGGTCCAGTGAGGCTTCCCAATGCAGTGATCTCCACCCGATCAATCTTTCCATCCTTCATGTAAAACCAGCATCGCTCAGGATCCAACACAATTTTCTTCTGGGTTGCTTCCACGATAGGAAAGTTGGCAAACGTGTACGGACCCGTGTGCGTTCCAGTCGTTTGCAAGTTTTCCACAAGGACAACTCCTGGCTTGATTTCCTTGATGGAATCATAGAGGAAGCCCATATCATTAAAGCTGCGGTACAACTTTTCAATCTCAGTCACCATCACACCTGCGTCCATTGCCTGGGTGTCATCAAACAAGACTCGCGACGTACTGGAGGCGTAGTGCTTGAGCAGTTCCTCTGCTGATGCATGAGCGCTCACAGCAGCCACGTACTTTGCAACCAATTCTTCATTCAAGTTGTCAGTACTAGTACCAGTAGCCTTCTTGGGCCTTGTCTTCTTGCTGCTGCTGCTGTTGCTGTTACTCAGGCTGTTGCTGTTGCTGCACACAGAGGTACCATCTTGGCTCTCTTTGGCGAGAGCCTTGCCATTGGTCTTGGTCTTGCTCCACCGTTTCCCAGAAAAAAGTTTGAACATCTTCAGGTCCGTCTGATGGCAAAAGTGCAGAAAACTAAAATAGATTTGGCTTCCAAGAATTGTGAGAGTGCTGAAAGTGAATAATTCTGACGGACTACAACGTCCGGAAACAGGCGAGGTTTGAGATAAATCCAGTCCCAAGGAATCCGTTTTATATTTTTGTCTCAAGTCTGATACTGATTGCATGGACAAAATCAACCAGTGTCCCGTTTCCGGACTGCGTACCGGTACAGTCGTATTGTGGTCCGCTTCCCTTCAAGTGCATGTGTACTTATTTATGTACAGTACTTCAGACTTCAGAGAACTGTACTGAGGTCATCTTAAGCTTCAAGGAGAAGACCAGAAGCCTTGCTCTAGAGCCGTAACGCTTTATGAATACAGTGGTCAAATGCTTTAAGTCCTATTGAACTAGTGGCTTTTAGAAACGAATTAATTAACATTAGTTACGAATTAACAATCCACCAAAGCGTGCCAAACTTCCAAAATCCCAAAACAAAAAAAGACATAACACATAACACAACCTTCACATCTTCTTTTGTAAATGTTCTGGTCGAATGTCAATCGATTCCTGAAACCCACCGGAAACATTCCTTACCTTTAAAAATCTGACCTTGATTCCAGCAGTAAAAATTTAATGGTTGGAGGGAGGCAGTATTTTGGGTCCTGCAAGGTTGTACCGGTACCACTGACTGGATTTGGATTTAAATGATGTTTCATCGCGGCAAGCTTTTGTGACCACCATGACCCATCGAATGACCGTACGAACCGGCACCAACCTCCTGCCTCTTCAACAAGCGCTTGCTTGATGATCAAGGATCAAAATTTACTATCTAACCTTTTAGTTAAAATTAGGATCGAAAGACGACGTTATGCATTGGCCGTGCAACAACCCCGCAGCCCAGTCGTAGCTATAGCTAGCTATAGAGCAAGGAAGGTCCATGGGATCAGCCATGACAAACTGGATACCACATCAATTGAACAAAAATTCTTCCAAATAGGCGATAGCACCCTTCCACCAAGCGAATGCCCTGCTAACAAAATTGTCCTCTGCAGGGCTTCCACCAGTTCCGGTGGTGCCTAGGTTGCCAACTTGAGGCAAAGGATTCAGGATAGGAGAAAACGTGGGAAAGTCAGTTTGTCTCCACGTTTGGATAAGACCATTATCTTGACCTGACTCATCATAAAAAGGTGCTCCAACAAGGACTTTTGTCCCATCTCCAGAAACAGCAACACTATATCCCAACTCATCAGTTGCCCCAATTCCATCAATATCAAAACCTTGCATTCTGCTGATCTCTTGAAGGACCCAATCAGTGCCGTCAAACTTGTAGATGCGAACATAACCACGAGAGACTGCAGATCCAGCAACAAGGGTTTTGCCATCATTGGATAGATCAATAGAGAACCCAAATCTATCTCCTTGTTCATCTCCAATGAGATCACTATGTACAGTACATGTATTATGTATCACAAGTCACAAGTCACATGGGGCAGAGTCAGTAATCCAAAAAACACATGAAACAGTCCTCAATGCTTACCTTCCCAATTGGACCCATAATTCATCAGCTCTTTGAAAGACTTGCACCTTGCCAATTTGGGTAGCAGCAAGCAGATCAAACCGAGGAGAACTGACTGCAACAATGCTGCCATCGTAGTTTAGAGCCACCGAATAGCCAAAATTGTCAGAGATGGTGGACCCAAACATGGCTCCACCATCAACAAAATTTTGGTTGAGTATGCCATCACTGGCATAAACACGGCATTCACCAAACCTTGTAGAGTCAGAATCAGAGGGTCCAGATCCAGGCATTCCAACAGCAAACCAGTTGCCATCTCCAGAGTATGCTACAGACCACCCCATCTGTGCCAATGCATTTGGTCCATACAATCCAGAAACAAAAGCAGAGAGATCATTAGGGTCGTCATATTGCTCTCGCTGCCAGTCAGTGCCATCCCAGAAGTAGGTTGTTGCAAACCCAAGTTGAAGGTTGGTTGGGGTATCATAAAGAGGAGCCCCAACTACCACTTTGTCTCCATCTGCTGACAGAGAAATGGCCCAACCAAAGGAGAAAATTGGCGAGCCATCCAACTCAACACCAACAATTGTACTGTCTCTTTGCAACCACATTTCTGAGCTGCTGTTATATTGGAACACCACAACAACTTCATTGGCAGAAGAGCTGACAGCAACAATGCTGCCATCTCTTGATATGGCAACTGTAAAACCACTTCGAAAAGGTAAATGAGGAAAACCTGTCAAGTCTTGACCTTTTGGGGTCCATACCGGTATATTGGCAGCAATCTCATAGACACGAACAGTGTCAGTTCCCCTTTCATGGACTGCTATTGTTGTCCCTGCCTCGTCTATGGCCACATAGCTTCCAAACAATGCAAGATCGGTATCCCCTGCAAGATTAAAACCAAATTGGACATAGCCGCTGATGGGAGCCAACCAACGATGCTGTTTCATGCTTTCCGCATTCAGGTCAATGACTTGCAAGGATTGCTGATTCTGAGGTTCACTGGTACCGCTACCATCTACTGACGTGAAGAGAATTGCCAAATTGACACACAGCAGGATGGCCCTTGAGAAACGTCCTTGATGAGCAGGAAACCATTCGGAAAGATCGAAATTCCACAACATGGTGATTGTTGGCAATTCAGTTATTCGAAAATTCAATTCAAGGCAAGTCGATCAACAGATGGAGCAGTATGGGGCAAACTTGGATTCGATTCATTCCATGGCAGGCATTGGGATTGATCTGGAAGAAACGGGGTTTGGGGTAACGGGTGCCCAAACCGAAACGGCCATAAAAAACGGCGAATCGAAAACGGGTGTTGGTGCACCCCCCGCCCCACTCCAATTGAGACGACTGAACGTCGAGTCGAGTCGAATGATTCAATTCAATCCCAGATTTCATTTGGACGAACAGATCCATGACCGAACCATTGGCATTGGGAACTGTGGGGGAAGCAACCCCCAAACAAAAAAGGATGAAGGCGCACGTGCACCTCGATCCGAGACCAGCAAAGAGCATGACGAGGTTGATGCACTAGTAGCTAGCAGCTAGCTGCGGCTAGCAAAAGCAGCTACGATAGCTCTTGCAGATATGGCTGCTGACAAGTCTTCCGAGAAAAATTTAATGTAACCGGAACTCTCTTCCCGGAACAATTTGCAACCTTCGCGCACCTGCGTCCAACATCAAGATTGCAAGTTTTATGCCTCATTATCGATAATGAGATGAGCAAAGAATAAGGGGACAATGACGAGTATTACCATGAACGCAACAGAGCACGAGAAGGACCCAGAGCAACCGGCAGTGGCGCCTCAGGAAAACTGTTTGATGCGTCACGTCAGTGCCATGCTAAACATGCCACCGCCAGTACCAGTAATAGTTATCACGGACGACCAACCAGACGAAGAAAAGCAGTTATCCCCACCACCACAACAACAACCGCCACCATCGTCACCACCATCGTCACCAGCATCCCCACCACACAGTAGTTATGTGACAAAACAGAGAACGCCGCCATCCAAGCTCTTTCACAGATTGGATCGAATGCAAAGAGCACTGTATCAACGCACAGTGCCGGTTCTGTGTTTGGGGGTAGTGCTGCTGATGGCGCTGTTGGTTGTTGGCTTACTGTCTGCCAAGGACCAAGGCAACGCTCTATGGGGATTCTTGGTGGCTTGTCTCATTGCTTCGGTTGGCTGGATAGCTGTGCTCGTGGCAATGCTGGTGTTTATTGTCCAAACCAAAAGCAATCACATACTCCGGATTGTACTGCTACTGCTGGACCCGGAGACGCGCGAATTTGAAGTCCTGCGACTCGAGTTTTTCTATTCCGATTATTCCAAGGCGTTGGTGGCAAATGCTCTGTCTCCAATGTCTACCCATGCAACCAACAAAATGTTGAGCACCAAGGCATACACCGGTGTTTGCAACGCAAGGGGCGCCAAGGAATGGAAGAAATCAGCCCATTTGGTAGACTTTTGCCAAGGCTGCGATGTGCTCATTGCTATACCAGAAGGAACTTCTGCAGAAGAGATTGCGCAACTGGCCAAACCCATTCTCAGAGATGAAAATGTTGTCAGAGTTGTAAGTATTGTTCTCTCATCGTTCTGTCATTTGATTGCATTGAGGTTATTGAATTTTCCCTTCTAACCATCATCATTTCTTTTGGAATGGCATCCTCCTTATCTTTAGCTCTGTTCTGGTGTCAACAAGGCCGATCCTTGGGCTTTGGGGATGAGGCTTCTTTACTTTATTTCTTCCGTGTGTTTGGGGATTCTGTTACCAGTGTTCTGGGTCGTTGTGGCACACAGTATCAGCCAAGATGATACAAAAGTATGGTTCGTGGAGGCTCCCCTGGTTCTATTCATTAGTTGGTACGTGGCATTCCTGGTGGCAGAGGCATCCGTCATACTTCAAGTCCTCCACCACCGAAAACAGAAACGTCGAGTCATTCAAAACTATGTCTTCAAAATGGTTCTGGTGATTGCCGTTTATTTGGCTCTGGCAGCAATCATTGTACAGTTTGCATAGTCTAGCTAGTGTAATTATAAAGGTCCAATGATGATGTTCGGGTACAGTGTAGACTGTGGCGCAGCCAATGAATGCGCAGCACGAGCGATCTCCTGGGCACTGAATTGGATCTACTATAATAATAGTAGGGTCCCAGCTCTGCCTTGGATCTGCCGAATGTGTTTTTGAGCTGGCTCCAGCTTGAGTCTTCAACCAATGCATATGCTGCTGCATGTCGACTCCCCTTGTAGACACTGCTAGCTAGCCACTACGAAAGGCGCTGCAAGAAACCTGAGATGCATAGATTGAAGAAGTTGCAGCACCAGCGCAGTGTGGTTTAGGGGTACTGGTAACGAGGTGTGTAGTACCAAGGTCAATTAAGGAAAACGTGTAACAGGACGTCAAACCACGCAGCCCAGAAGGCATGGTTAAAGGATCTCTCAGTCGGGGTTCCAAACGTTTAGTCAACGTTCCAAGGGAGAGACGGAGGCACAAAATTGAAAACGGGGGTTTAGAGTAGGGAAATTATCTACAGAAGCCAGCACAAAATAGAAGGTTCTCCCTTCTGCACTTCTGCATCCAGCGTTGATTGCTTGATCATGAGCACCAACGAAGGAGACGACGGCGACAAGAAGCCGGCAGCCGATCTAAGTGGGAAGAAAGAGGACGAGGAGGGCCGCCGTCTTCGTGGTGGTGATCCCGAAGCTGTGGGAATTTGGAACTGCACTCCTGACTCCTTTTCCCTCTTTCCCAACTTTGTTCCCCTATGAAGTCGACATTGCCCATGAAGACCTCCCCAAGAAGAAGAAGAGTTGCAAGAAGAAGAGGAGCCCCAGCAAGCCCAAAAACAAATAGTATGTCGAGCCAAACGAGCTTGATATCTTGGGTGGGCGTGGGGGCAATTCCAACGATTGGCCCGGCAATGAACGCTACCACCTTGCCATTGAAGACGCCAAGCCAAGGTACCGAGAGTGCCGAAATTATGATGAGAGGACAATCCTGAGTCAGGAGATTGTCAAGCAGATGACGACCGAGGGGCGTCGATTCCTCGCCATGGATAAACACAAAAACAAATGGTATATCGTCCCCGAGCGCACAGCCCGCTTAAAGACTGGACTAGCGTTGCAGGAGGAGCACAAAACCAGAGGGAAATCCGCTTAGAAAAAGGCAGAGGGAAATAGAAAGAGCAAAGGTGCGCACGTCCCTGGTGCCGTAGTGGGCATGGAGCGCCTCTTTCCTCTTTCGTGAATATGCCAGCGCGATCGAAACGTGTAAATGCGGAGGAACCAGACAATGACGACGCCAAAGATGACACGGCGAGCAAGTACGGTATTCTATGGTGGTCAGCGAACAAGAGCCTTTAGATTTTAAAATATAACGATTCGATTCTCGACAACGCAAGGCTCTGTTGCTTCTTGAGGTTCCTGAAGTGGTGCGGACTGCTCTTGCTTGAGTTGTTCCAGCTTGGATTGCTCTTGTTCCCGTTCCTCCTGGCACAATTCCTTGGCGTCATCGTATGCCAACCGGCGAGCCATGGCCTCGAGCTGCTGCAGTTTCATGGACTCGATCTTTTCCATTTGTTCGTTGCAAAGATGATCGATCATAGCGTTGAACGCTTTGGTTTCATCGGATTCTCGCAGGATATGTTGGATGTGTTCATTGTTGCTGCTTGCTGTTTGTTTTTTCCACGCAATCTGCTGCATCATGGTCACGCCTTTTGGGCCATGACAAAGCGCTCGGCGCACAAAAAGGGCCGTGCCGTTCTCCCCAATGGTTCAAAGTACCTTGACTCGAGATCCGAAACCGTGACATCCTCCAGAACGACAAATCCATGATCCTTCTTGAGAAACTTGGTAAATTCTTCTGGTGTCCACCCGGAAATCCATGGTTCTCCCCCTCGACGCACCCGAGCTACTACCCGTGCCACGTCTTGTGGATCGGCACAGATGCCCTCTTGTATCCATGACAGCTCTGACTTTTTCTGTAATACAGCTTGATGGACGTAGCTGACTCCTAAAATGGATCCTTTTCCGACCATGGATTGCAGTTGTTTCAATGTCTCGGCAGTAGACTTTTTGGGAATATAGTAGGTGACGCCTTCCAGAAGTATGATGGTCTTGGCCCCTCTTTGAAACTGTGGGTGCGCTTCGAGTTTGTCTTGGAGTGATTCGTTGGAGTTGAAATCTACGGAAATCAAGTGTACGTGAGATAGTTCCCCTTTCTGGATGGGAAGGCTTTGCAATCCTAGTTTTTTGAGTTTCTGGACTTTTGGTTGATCCACTTCAAAGCAGTGTATTTTGGTACTGTTGTTGTTGCTGTTATTGTGGAATAGTCGAATGGCACGGGTATCATATCCCGCCCCGAGAATGATCATTTGGGTACACGCATGATCAGTAATAGCTTGATGACAGACATGATCTAGAAATGCCGTTCGAGCCACGACCATGCTGATCAATCCAGGATATCTCTGATTTACTTTACAAACCACATAGTCGCTCCCCAACCATTCCAAAAAAGGATGACCAATGCTAAAGTATTTGGCGTACGGGTCTTCAAAGAGTCTGCTAGCTTCAGGCTTCCGAGCATGTTCCATCCAACGAATCCGTGCCACACCCATGGCAGTGTTGTCGTGCCGTTTCATTCCGGGAATATCTACATGTCGAGATACATGGGCTCCCATACTTACAATAACTCCACGACTTCTATGCGGTGAATCTGTGCTGTTCAGCGGCCGGCCTTCATTGTGCTGTTGGTGCGTGCTGCGGCAAAATCTTTGGATCTTAATAAATTTGGATCGTAGTCAGTCATGGATAGAAAATTCAACCAGCGATGCTTAAATCTTCAAGGACGCGCGGGAACACAAGAAAACAGGGAACACGTACCGTATGCATATAAACACAAGAAAACAGGGAACACGTACCATATGCATATAAACAATTTTTGAATAGAATCAATTTGGCTGACCACTTGTCTACTGTGCTGCTACCGGTGCCCTAAACTGATAACATGGGGCAGAGAGATTTGACCCACCAGCCAGGGAAATATTAATAAAATTCAACATATGAAGTTAAGGGACATGTGTCGCCTCGTGATTGACCCATCCTCGTTGCTGCCATCATCAGCATGCTACTAGCTCTGCTACAACAATTGTCTATTTTAACAGTGCCCGAATCCAAACAATGTCAGACTCAAATGCAATTCCTATAAACTAAAGTATGACTTCAGAAAACAGCTGCAAGTTATCTGTTTTTAACAATATTCAGTAATTATTGACAATAAAATAATTAAACTAGTAAAAGTAAAAAATATATAAATATATAAAATAAATAGATTATAACAATACAACTAATTTATGTAATATTAAAATATTTTTCTGTTATATACACAAGTTTTTCTACAAACTAATATTATTCAGAAATATTAAAATACATCTAAAATAAAAAAGGATAAATGCTTGAATTTTGCTCAATTTTTAAACATTCTTAATTGAGAAACCCAAAAACAATTTAATGATCTATTAAAATCATTCATGTCGCCAGTGGGTATACACACAAAGGGGACCCCAATACCCACTGGCTAAGTTGTCTAATTAAATTAATGAAATACATCATTGTGAGTATTCTTTTAAACGTTATGCAAAAAACGTCGTGCAAAAATGTCGTGTAAAAATGTCGTGTAAAAATGTCGCGTAAAATGTCGCGTAAAAATGCATGCAAAAATGTCGTGCAAAAATGTCGTGCAAAAATGAATGTCGTGTAAAAAAGAATGTCGTGTCAAAATGTCGCGTCAAATGTCGCGTCAAAATGTCGCGTCAAAATCGCGTCAAAATGTCAAAATGTCGCGTCAAAATGTCGCGTCAAAATGTCGCGTCAAAATGCATGCAAAAATAGTCGTGCAAAAATGTCGTGCAAAAATGTCGTGCAAAAATGTCGTGCAAAATGTCGTGCAAATGTCGTGCAAAATTTCGTGCAAAAATTTCGTGCAAAATTTCGTGCAAAATTTCGTGCAAAATTTGCGTAATGTTGCTAATTAGCCACACAGCGTAACTTTATCACGAATGTAATTTTTGATGTCATTTGGAATTGCAAAGTTATCTTAAATTTCGCGTAATATAGTTGTATTCGTATGTCATGCAGCTCATTATCGCATAATACAGGTAGCTACATTCTTATGTATGAGAGCTAGATTCTCGCGTGTTTGAGCTAGATTCTCGCGTGTTTGAGCTAGATTCTCGCGCGTTTGAGTTAGATTTTCGCGTGTTTGAGTTAGATTCTTGCTTGTTACAGCTCGACTCTTATGTTTTTGAAATACATACTCGCATATTTCACTTTGTTATTAAGCAAAACTTCTATGTCAGCGAGATTTCTTTTTGGCACACACGTAAGAGAATATATTCTCGTCGCGTTTTTTGCTTTATTGTCTTGTGAATACATTGGTTGTCATATCACACTTGTGCAAGAGCAAGAGCTATATTCTTGCATATTTTAGATTGCTCGTATTATGTAATGCAAACTGACTTCAATGTCGCGTGATAGAATTACATTTTTCGTGTTAGAGCTAGACTTTTGTGTGTTAGAGCTGAATTTTTGCTTGTTTTCGGCATTAGAGCTATGTCTTACATTTTCTTGTGTTACAGCTACATTCTTCTTGCATGTTAGAATTATATTCTTGCGCATTTTAGATTGTTTTTATGCAAATTTCAGTTCTCTTTCTAAATGTCGCACACGCGTTGCAGAGCTACTTTCTCATATGTTGTGTATTAAATGCATGAAAAAATACTTTTTCTCGCGTTTTAGTTGTGTCTATATCATGACAAGAGCTACATTTTGGTTTTTAGAGTAGCTTCCTTGTGTAGTATTAGAGTGCCGCTCTCGCATGTCAGTTTTGACTAGTACATTCTGATGAGTATTTTAGCTTTGTTGTTGTATTCTAGTGAGTCTCTTTCTAGTACACACGTGAGAGAACTATTCTCGTGTGTTTTAGTAGCTTTATTATCATGTGAAATACATTATCTTTGTTATGGTGTTACATGAGTGAGAGAGCTAGACTTTCGCGCGTTTTAGCTTTGGAAGTACTACATCATCGTGCAATTTGGCTTTGGTGTCAAGGAGTGTATAGAACTACATTTTCGCATGCTATCAGAGTTTCTGAATCAGTCGGTACGTTAAGAGAGTCTACTACATTTTGGCTTTTGTGTGTTAGGACTACACTATCACGTGTTTTAGATTTGTTGTTGTAGCATATTAGACTGTGTAAGATTTCTGTGCTGTGAGCCGTCACAGAACTATTCAATGTATGTTAGCTTTTTTTTGTCATTGAAATGCATTTATTGTCGTGTCATACGTGGAACTTTGTCTGTATTATGCCATGCAATTTAGCTGCCAAGCTATATTTTTGGGTGATAGAAGTATACATCATTGCGTTAGAGTTACATTTTTCGCGCAATAGAGCTACATTTTCGCGATTAGAACTATATTTTGTGGGTCAGAGCTGTGATCTAATGTGTTAGAGCTATGTTCTTATGTGTTAGAATTATCTATAATTTTTGTAATAGAGTCGCGTAATGTTGTCGTGCAATGTAGCTATATAAATATGTTTGGTAAAAACGTCAAAAACATATATTTTTACATTAAAATGAATTCGTTTTTGTATTTTTATTTTAGAAAAAATTTATTTAAAGTCCAGTACAACAGTAAAATAACGACTGCCAACAGTCAACAAAACAACGTTTTGCAATTGGACATTTGCAATACACAGTTCACCCCCCAGCTTGAGCAGCTACAGATAGCTGGAGTAGGTATACATCTGCTTAACTCTCAATCGGTTTGGCACCAAGCCTTGCAGCTGCGACGTTCTAGCAGCACCTTTATTCCACTCTTTTTGAGGCTTCCAAACAGCAGTTAGATGCCCATACAATTTTCTACAGTACCAAAAGCACCTTATTGTTTTACGCGCACTACTCTACAACCCAAGGCAGCTACTGACTTCCCGCTCATATAGATGTTGAGGAGGGCTACAAGCTTGATCCATCCTGCACTGGTTGTACGCAAATTCCATATGAGCCTCTCACCTCATTGCCTTTCGTTATTTGCTAGTCTACTTTTTTTTTAGCTCCTGGTGAGTCGAATTTGTTATTTACATTGTTTTGCTTTTGGACTCTCACTGGGCCCCATATCCCAGCTCGAATGGCTTCTGGCCGGCCGGGGACGCTCGCGCCGCCGATATACCAAGTCGCGAAGCTTTTTTGGCGAGCCACAAGACCTTGCAGTGGGAAGAATAAGTAAGCAGCAGAAAGTACACTCACCACAGGTCGATCGATCGCGATCTGTCCATGGACGCACCGATGCAACTCCACAGATTTGCAGAACACAGCACATCACAGAGTGCAACCGTATTCACATATAGTACGTATGATTCCTTCAATAATTCAGTTTTCCTCGGACGGTCAACAGGATTGGAATGTCGTACTGAAAGCCACGAGACCTGAAGACAAGCTCGTGATTCCTCCTTCACGACCTCAAGAACCATCCACACTACGAGAAGCATGTGATGACGACGGCGGCGGCGACAAGCCAGATCTAGTAGATGATTCCATCAGAGCTTCATTGAGTGAATGCGCCATTGGAGACGAAGATGACGATGACGAGGAATACTTGGAGGAAAGTGGAGACACGCCCGTGGCTGGCAACGAACAAAGCCTGATGGTTCGAGAACCGGAACTAGCTTATGTTACCCAGGAGCGTCCACCCATGGAACCTCCGATGCCTGATCCTGAGGTACTCAAGCTCATCCCTCATAACGAAGAAGATGATATCTTGACGCAGTTCCGAACTGCCGTGGCTGACCCCTCCTTGGAAGTTGCCACTGTCAGTTACTTTTTGGAACAGTGCCGCAGAGATGTGCAGGCTGCCGCTGCCATGTACTTGGAAGAAAGTCTTGACATGTAGCCCAACGAAAAATCGGATCCGTACCCCAATAAATCTATTACAGCCGTAGCACGAAGAAGCCTGTCATGGACCTTGTGATGAGTCTCATCTCAGCCAATTTTCGTGAGCAGCTTTCCAAGAGTGTCATTCATCCTGTTGTTGTCCTGTCCACAAAGCCCAATATTTGCCCTTTGTTGTTCGAAGAGGTATAATCCAGTCAATTCCTTGCCTTCCATCATCAACAACGATTGCAGCAGTCCGATAGTACGCATACATGTACTTCAATAATTTTGGGGATGCGACCAATTACGTCTCATGGAGACGACGCTCCTTTTGGTTACCCCCTCAGTTGCACACCAAAATCAATTTGCCGGCGTTTACTGTGGTAAAAAGAGTAGCCGCACTTCAGTTGCAGAATCAACGGTCATGTGTATCCTTAAGTAACAGGTTCTCTTTCGAAAGATTTAGATCCATTCGTGGAATAAAAGAAGGTTAAGGATAAACTGTTCTTTATTCAAGCCGACCGATCGAACGAGGTACTAGCTAGCTAGCTAGTAGTCTAGATCTTTAGAAGCTCATTATCAAGCCTGTTATTGAAGGTCCAGCGCTGACTTCTCTCCCTCGTTGAATTTCTATGGTATTCAGGAGAGAATTCCAAGCTCGGCCGTCAACAGGTGAGTTGTTCTTTAATTATTATTCGAATCGATCGGTCGATCGCACCTCTACTAGTATTATCTCTATTGTCAAGCCTCACTCAAGCCGGTCGTCTCCGGTACAGATTCGAAAGCCATCCCTCATTGAATCCTATGGACGATGGGATGGCAGTCAGTTCTCGGCCCATGACGGCCAAGCCTGGTTTTCTTCAGTTCAGCACAGAAAACAAAACTCATATCTATTTGTTGTTTTCTCTGCTGCACTGCCGACGGCCGGTGGGCTACCATTGTCGACGGTCGATCGCTCCGGATAAGAAGAGGAAGAGGCTGCCGTTACGGAAGAGGAGGCTCTGTTAACTCCAGCCCTACCAACAGCCTGAACAGAGGAGCCTATCGTCGTTGAGTCATTGAAAGGCAACAGCCACCGGAAGAGGCAACAACACACAAGAGAGTGGATCCTCCTACCGGATTCATCCCTTCTTGTTATTTCCTACTGTTTTGGTGGTGATTCCTGTGTCGGTACCCATTTTCCCGTATGCGCAAGTCAAGTACTATTGCCACTAGCTATACGGCAGCTGGCTACAATGGTTGGATTGACAATATTCGGTTGTGCGTGTATTCGTCATAAGGATCCAATGCGAGGTAACCGAGTGCTGCGAGCAAAGTCGAACCTGAGTGTGTTCGGTACTGTTGCCACTGTCACCGATCGATGAACTCTACGATAGCTGGCTACAACGGCTGGATTGACAATGTTCGGTTGTGCATGTATTCGTCATAAGGATCCAATGCAAAGTACCGGTAACGGAGTGTAGCCAGTAAAGCGGAACCTGAGTGTGTTTGGTTCTGTTGCCACTGTCACGGATCGATGTAACTCTACGGTAACTGGCTACAACGGCTGGATTGACAATGTTCGGTTGTGCATGTAATCGTCATTAGGATCCAATGCAAAGTACCGGCAACGGAGTGTAGCCAGCAAAGTGGAACCTGAGTGTGTTCGTCGCCGATGTAACTGTACGGTAGCCGGCTACAATGGCTGTATTAATAATACTCGGTTTTGTGAATGTATTCGTCATAAGGATCCAATGCGAGGTAACCGAGTGCAGCGAGCAAAGCCGAACCTGAGTGTGTTCGGTACTGTTGCCACTGTCACCGATCGATGTAACTCTGCGGCAACTGGCTACAACGGCTGGATTGACAATGTTCGGTTGTGCATGTATTCGTCATAAGCATCCAATGCAAGGTACCGGTAACGGAGTGTAGCCAGTAAAGCGGAACCTGAGTGTCACGGATCGAGCAAACTGATGAGGAAACAGGAGACGAACGCTGAAAAAAAGCCGAATATCAAGGAAACGTACTGTTTGGATGGGTAGTTGCGGTATATATAGGGTTAACATTATTATTCATATGCCGCCTGGGTCGTCTCCGTTTCCATAAATCTTTTATTACCAACACCTGAAACAGTATTCGCGCGCTCCGCGCGCTCATCCCTTTCTTTTTGCTTCGCCCCGAAACCGAAACCGAAACCGCTTCCTCGCTCGAGCTCATTCAGATCCCTCATTCATGCGAAAAATGTGAAGAACGCAAGGCGACTTTCATGTGCATGTACATGCGTTGACTGTATCCCGTCAATACAATACTAGTCAAATACTTAGACTTCTACAGAGGCCTCTAAGTAATGCACGCGGGGTATAATTCAAACCTCCACTCCCCATCGGTACCCTTACCCCTAAAAGCAAATCGTCTCCGGGAGACGAAATTTACTCTGAATCTTTGTATTAAATTCTATTTTACCACATCTACCTTAACTGCAGAGTTGTCTTCCTTTCTACCGGCGGCGTTGCCAGAGCCAAAAAGAACAGTCTGATATCGAGGTTCATGTATACTACTAGCTAGCTAGCTATTATAGTGCCTTGGATGGAAATCGGACAGGAGAATTCGTGGAAGGTTGGGTTGTTTTGACGTTATCGGCACAATATATTGGATTGCACAGCGGTATTACACTCGTTGGCGTAGCACTAGGCTCCCCACCAGTTGTTGCTGCTGGGCTCAGAGTTGTTGGGCTTGCCGTAATGGACGCCACTGTTGAGGGCGCAGTAGGTGTTGGGATGGCTAGCCCAATGCATCACCTGACCAAATGGACCATACCTTCCAAACCATCTCCAAGAGGGGCTGCCATGATGACCAAATTTTTCTTGAGCCATCACCAGTATACCTACGTCCACCATTCCGAGGATTCTGAAGGGACATTTACAGGGGATGGACTCGGAACAGCAGAGCTGGGAGAAGAACTGGGAGATGCCCTGGGTGCTGGATCATTCATTGGTGGGACTAATAACTGCAACCAACTGGATAGAAGACAAAGTTTTCATGAAATACGGCATTGGAAGTAGACCCACAACCCATACAAACTCCAGCATGCTCTCCTGATTCTGCAAAGCTGTAGTAGTTACATCCATCAGTCTGAACACACAGCTGTTGGCATGTTGCTAGATCGGTGCTGCGGTTCTCAGCAAGCCTGGTGCTTCCTTGTTCACACTTCATGTCCTGTTGCTTAGAATCACACGCAGCTCTTGGACTGCTGCTGATTGGTGCAGAGTTTCTTTTGCTGGTCTGATCAATGCTGCGATGGGATTTCGTAGAAGAACTTCGTGTGGAGGTTGATGCTTGAAGAAAACGGCGACCTTTGCTGCTGCTAGGAGATGCACTTGATTCGCTCGGGGCTGCACTAGCCATGCTTGGCGCGGCACTTGATTCGCTCGGGGCTGCACTAGCCATGCTTGGCGCGGCACTTGATTGACTTGGTGCGGCACTTGATTCGCTCGGAGCTGCACTAGCCATGCTTGGTGCGGCACTTGATTGACTTGGTGCTGCACTTACTCGAGCTGCACTACCATGCTTGGTGCGGCACTTGATTGACTTGGAGCTGCACTGGCTGCGCTGGGAGCTGCACTTGATTCGCTCGGAGCTGCACTAGCCATGCTTGGTGCGGCACTTGATTGACTTGGTGCTGCACTTGATTCGCTCGGAGCTGCACTAGCCATGCTTGGGCGGCATTGATTGCTTGGTGCGCACTTGATTCACTGGGAGCTGCACTGGCTGCGCTGGGAGCTGCACTTGATTGACTAGGAGCTGCACTGATGGCTCGGTGCTGCACTTGATTGGCTGGAGCTGCACTTGATTGCTGGGCTGCACTTGATTCACTGGAGCTACACTAGCATGCTTGGCGCGGCACTTGATTGACTTGGAGCCGCACTTGATTCGCTCGGAGCTGCACTAGCCATGCTTGGTGCGGCACTTGATTGACTTGGTGCTGCACTTGATTCACTCGGAGCTGCACTAGCCATGCTTGGTGCGGCACTTGATTGACTTGGTGCTGCACTTGATTCACTCGGAGCTGCACTAGCTATGCTTGGTGCGGCACTTGATTGACTTGGAGCTGCACTGGCTGCGCTGGGAGCTGCACTTGATTCGCTCGGAGCTGCACTAGCCATGCTTGGTTCTGCACTTGATTGGCTGGGAGCAGCACTTGATTGACTAGGAGCCTCACTTGATTGGCTGGGAGCTGCACTTGATTGGCTTGGTGTGGCACTTGATTCGCTTGGAACTGCACTAACCATGCTTGGTGCAGCACTTGATTCACTCGGAGCTGCACTAGCCATGCTTGGTGCAGCACTTGAGTCACTCGGGCCCACTGCTCACTTGGTGTTGCACTTGATTGGCTTGGTGCTGCACTAGCCACCTTGGAGCTCACTGCCGCTTGGAGTGCACTTGATTCGCTCGGTGCGGCACTCGACTTGCTCGGAGCTGCACTTGATTCACTAGGTGATGCACTTGATGCACTCGGAGCTACACTAGCTGCGCTGGGAGCTGCACTAGCTGCGCTGGGAGCTGCACTTGATTCACTGGGAGCCGCACTTGTTGTGCTGGGAGCTGCACTTGATTCGCTCGGAGCTGCACTTGATTCACTAGGTGCTGCACTGGATTCACTAGGTGATGCACTTGATGCACTCGGAGCTACACTCGCTGCGCTGGGAGCGCACTGCTGCGCTGGAGCTGCACTTGACTCACTGGGAGCCGCACTTGTTGTGCTGGGAGCTGCACTTGATTCGCTCGGCGCTGCACTTGATGCCAGACTGGGGTTACCACTGGGAGTAGTGCTAGGAGAATGAGAAGAGCTCGGTGCTCCACTCGATATACTTGGTACATGACTGGGGGCAGAGCTGGGGCAGAACTTGGAGACAGAGAAGAGCTCGGTGCTGCACTCGATGTACTTGGTACAACTGGGGTGGAGCTGGGAGATGTACTAGGATAATGTGAAGAACTAGGTGCTCCACTGGATGTGCTTGGTACATGACTGGGGCAGAGCTGGGCGCAGAACTTGGAGACAGAGAAGAGCTCGGTGCTTCACTCGATGTACTTGGTACAAGACTGGGGGTGGAGCTGGAGATGTACTAGGATAATGTGAAGAACTAGGTGCTCCACTGGATGTGCTTGGTGCAAGACTGGGGGCAGAGCTGGGGGCAGAACTTGGAGATTGAGAAGAGCTCGGCGCTGTACTTGGGGCAGTGCTTGGTTCAGGAATGGATGGATGGTTGCTAGGACTGGTGCTTGGAGTGACGCTTGGGGTAGAGGTTGATGGACTTGCTGTTGCAGGCGTAGCTGTGGGACTTCCCTCTGTCACCGTTGGGCCAAGAGTTGTTGGGCTTCCTGTAGTGGGTGTAGCAGTTGAAGGCGTCGCAGTTGAGGGCGCCCCAGTTGTCGGGTTGGCCGTTGATGGGTTTGCTGTTGCAGGCATAGCTGTGGGACTTCCCTCTGTCACCGTTGGGCCAAGAGTTGTTGGGCTTCCTGTAGTGGGTGCAGCAGTTGAAGGCGTCGCAGTTGAGGGCGCCCCAGTGTCGGGTTGGCCGTTGATGGGCTGGCTGTTGTGGGAGTAGTTGAGGGAATACCAGGAGTGACTGTGGGACTTGCTGTTGTTGGGCTGATTGTAGTTGGGCTTCCAGTCATGAGTGTCTCACTGATATACATGCCTGAAGTTCCAGTTAGGCTAGAAAAGGCAGTAACAAAGTCAGCCCTTTGTGTGGCACTCCCCAGGAAGGGATTAGCACTTGTCTCATCCACCGTTACAGAAAGTTCCAGATGAAAGTTATCATTTCCAACTTGAAAGCCAATCTTCTGTGTTATGTTCACATTGGTCACAATTGCTGCACATGTATTTTCTGCTACAAAATCATTAGCCCTTACAAAATTTGAAGTCAAGATATCAGCTTGGACAGAAGAGATGTCATTCGTGAACCCCATATAGTACGTGTTGGTGACGGATGTATAGCCACAAGTTGGGGCAGCAGTTGGAACTTGCGTTGATGGAGAAGATGTTGTGGGACTACTACTGGGCCGTCCTGCTGATACTGATGGTGTTCCTGTGGTTGGTGCTGAAGTTGGTGGATTAGTTGGACCTTTTGTTGGTTGGCCTGTTGGCGGTGGTGTGGGGGCTGATGTTGGCTGTGGGGTGGGTTGGTTGGTTGGCCTAGATGTGGGGGCTGCTGTAGGAGAGGGTGTAGGCTGTCCTGTAGGAGCTGGAGTGGGTTGGCCAGTTGGTGCTCGCGTGGGGGGTGATGTTGGAGATGGTGTTGGTGCTACAGATGGATTCAAAGTTGTTGGACTTGCGCTGGGACTTCCCTCAGTCACGGTTGGGCTCAAGGTCGTGGGACTTCCTGTGGAAGGAGTTCCTGTGGGTGACCCAGTAGTGGGGCTTACTGTACTTGGTCCAATAGTGGTGGGGCTGGTGGTTGTGGGATTGCTCGTGCTGGGACCTGCACTGGTTGGGCCACCCGCAGTTGGGGCGTCAGGAGTTGGGCCCACGGTTGTTGGGCCCACGGTTATTGTGGCATCAGGAGTAGAGCTAGGAGTGGGGCTAACAGTTGTTTGGGCGTCAGGTGTGAAGCCAGCAGTTGTTGGGCTGAAAGTGGTAGAGATGGCAGAGGCTGGAGCTTGGCTATTTGTGCTCTCAGGTGAACCAGTTTGCCTTGATGCGGATGCTCCTGGCTGTGTATCTTTCGATGGTGCCTGGGTTGTAGGTTCTGCAGTTGTTGGGGTAGATGGGGTTGGCTCTTGAGTTGTTGGGGCAGATGGAGTAGGTTCTGCAGTTGTTGGGGCAGATGGGGTCGGATCCTGTGTTGTTGGGGATGCATTGGCAGCAGCACCTGTTCCAGTTGGTGCACCACTACCACCTTTTGAATCAGTCGTTTCTGTGGGCATTGCAGCAGTCGCTGATGCTGCAATTGGCACAGCTGCTGCTGGGGCATCACTGCTTTCGCTTGGACCCAAGGAAGGTGCTGTAGTTGGCTCTTGCGACTTGCTTGGGGCATCCGAAGGAGCATTTGAGGGCTGGGTGGACAGTGTGGGGGGCTCTGTGGGTGCCGCGGTATAAGCAGTAAAATAGCTTCCAATAGGCGCTGAAGACGGGGCCCCCGAGGCTGCTGTTACGATGACTGCAGTCTCTGTATTTACACTGGTCTCTGCAACAATGTTGTCCTCATCATTAGGATCCACAACAGAACCATAAAACAGTCGAACAGTTTGTTCCACACCTCGGTCTGGACCTTGTCCTTGTTCAGGTACAATTGGTAACTTTTCTTCAATTTCAAAGATAAAGGCCTCGACAAAGTCAGAATACAAACGGTTGTTGGAGAGCAATGAGATGCCACTTTGCAGAGAACGTGTCTTGCCGACACCGTTCTTCTCCATTGTGACTTCACTGGGTCCAGTTGAACCACCAAACAAGCAATTCTGATCAGGACATCCCACACAAGTCATGGTAATCTTCCATCTTGTGTACGTAAAGAGCATGGCTGGTCCAGCCTGAACACTATTGATTTCTGTCAATACAACGTTGTGGGCCACACGTAGGAACTCTCCACTGCACATGCCTGAGAGAGCATTGTAGCTGAGCTTGAATAGTTCTTCGAGTCGGGCTTGGTTGGCTTCTACAAATCCCAGAGGGAGGCCCTGAAGAACCAAGTTCGTGATGCCTTCTTTTAGTTCTGTGACTTCTTCAAAGCCAGGACACACAGACATTGACCAGCTGTAGGCAGATTCATTCAAGTTAATGACAACATCATCAAGGGGAAATCCATTTTCAACAGGGACCACTCCTCCAGTCTGGTTTGAGAAGGTGGGGGCGCTGGTTGCAGGGACAGTGAACTCAGACCCAAGGACATTGTCGATACCACTAGGTGTGCCGTTGTTACCGAGATCAAGCCCAAGCCCAGCTGTAGAAGCACTGGTGCCATGATCATCAAGGATTGTGTCGTTGATGAGATTGGTTCCATTGATGGTCACAATAATAGTAGTAGTATTGGTTTCTTCCATGGCACTCATCATGACCATTCCAGTGGAAACCGCAGTGGCAGTGACAATGGCAGCAGCTCCAACAGCCACTGCTAGCTGTGAGGTGAGTGAGGCAGATGCCACACCGGCCAGTGCCTGTCCCACAATCCCTGTGGCTGCTGTGGTGCCAGCCCCCGCAGCGGCGGACCCTCCTGCAGCAGTGGAGCTAGCCGCCCCTTGAGCAGCTGATGTGGCCATGTTCTGTGTGGTCCCTTCGAGTGCCCTGTGGGTTGACCCAGAGACCAATCAAATAGAACCAGCAAGAATTGTCAGTGATCGATGAGCATCAGTTGTTCCAAATTGAAGTTTTGGGAGTGTGTGTCAGAGAGAGGATGAACTTACAAAAAGGTTGGATTTGCCAAATTGGCAATGGATTGTTGTTGTGTTTGTAGGATCATGGCATTTCTGGCATTCCCTACCACTTCATCCGCGGCAGCTTCCGCTGCTTCCTGGGCCAGTTCGTTCGCCCCAGGTGGGTCATCCCCGTTTCCCATGCATTTTTGACACAACTTGGAAATTAATTTCATGCAGAGGAGTAATCCACAAGCGGACAAAATAGCAAAGAGGAGAGAGCTTCTGACTTGCTTTTCCTTTGCTTCTGCCATGTCGACGGTGGATGGTTCGTCCTGTTGGGAATCACTCATTTCGGAATCCTGGTTTTTGCTTTCCTCGTCTTCTTCCTCTTCGTAATCTCCTTTTTTGCCACTAGTATCCTTATCAAGATCCACATCTGCCATGGGAGCATCGGAAGTAAGATCCCTGGGATCATTGTGGCACCCCAATAAGGGGTCTCCCCCTGTGTCCCTGGCACTACCTTGCTCCATAAAGCTATCTTGATCACTAAAGGAGTCTCTGGATTGACGTGGCTGGAGAGCAACTCGTATCATTGTTGAGTTCTCACTATTAAAAAAATAAAAGAAACAAAGAAAGACGAGTGAGTAATGATACAGTAAAACGAAGAATTGGGCTCCCCGAGTGCTCGTTTCTTGGTGTTGTTTGGAACAGCACTCACGTAGGCGGTTCATCTGCTTCGTAGTTGTCGTCTTGTTCTTGCTCGTCTTCTAGTTTTTCTCCTTCTTGCTCATTGTCTTCTTCTTCTTCGTGTCCTTCCGTGACAGTCTCTTGGTGTTGTACTTCCGCGGTTCCTTGCCCCTTGCTGCTCTTGTACGGAGAGGAAGCCTCTTCCATGAGAAAACTCAGATTCATGGAGACTTCCGACATGTTGTTGACATCGTCCTCCTCACCGTCCACAATGTGAAGGGGGGGACTGTCTCCCTCCAACCCATAGGTAGAGTCATTATCGTTATCGTTCATTCTTCTGAGCTAACTAGTGGCTAGTGGTATCGGATATACTAGGACCAACGTTGTCTTGCCGTTCTGTCTGACTAGCTAGCTATGTACCCAGTAATAGAGCCACTCAACAAGCGATCACTACAAGAATAGAGACAAGATGTAGTAAGCTATTACAAAAAGACGAGTGATGAGAATGTGCTGGATCTCTTCTTCTGAAGATTTTGAAGATGATAAAAGTTGGGCTTCGCAAGATGAGTGATGGTGCTTGTTCCTCGGTGGTGGTGGGTGTGTTCGTACGGTACCCGCTACTGTGGTCCACTTATGGACGGAAGGATGAGGTTCTTGGGTCACTATGACTATTGATGGCTACACCATTTAACGAAGCGTTTCGAAGGAATTAGTACATGACTATGTAGCTCTTACATGTACTTCAAATCTTAAGTACAGACGACTCTAGATTTACGATCTCCGAAGAACAGTGACATGAGTAATTTCCCTCCTCTCCCTGATATTGTTATAAAAATCTCTAACCCAAAACCGGAAAATTGGGGTACAATCGTAGCCAGCGGTAGACCGCGGGGTATCGTCGGGGATCTACTAGCTAGTACCAGTATCTCTTCGATCCGACGAACGTACCGATAGGTTGCACCGCCCTTTGGCCAGATAGCTGGCTATAGCGGTGTAGCTATAGACTGTCTGCCCACTGAGGCTTTGGTCGCCTTTGGTTGGAACACAGCACGCCAATGTTATGCATGCATACCATAGTCGAGCTAGGCTACCGTAGGGGCAATATCGTATTGTTTTTGACAGGGTTGGAACCCAATCGATTGGTCTGCATGTAAATTGCAATCTATTGGATTGCAATCCAATTGCTGGCTCCAGGAACAATTGGGCAGCAATCTTTGCCCATATGGACAATTCCCATCCAATATGATGCACCCCTAACTAGCATTTCCAGTACATTCACACTCCCAGAATCTCAAAATGCTCTAGAGAAACCATCTAGTAGCTTCACAGCAGCATACTTGCTTACCTCCTAGTGAGCTAGTAGTGGGTAGAATGGATTGCAATTGCTGCAATTGGTAATTGGGAGATAGACTGAGAATTGCAATGGCAATTATGTGGAAGTTGAAAATAGCAAGCCAATGTTGTGATTGGACCCATGGGGGACAATCCCTTGCAATACAATTGGACACAACCCTGGTTTTTGACCACGAGGAACAGTAATCTCCGCCCGCTACGTATTCACAGTTACTGTTTCAACCTACAACCATCGTATGGAATGAAAGTATACCACCCATCGTGGATCGTATATGCATGCATTGACGCTCACTCATATGGATTCTCCAGTTTGCTGCCGTGGCGGACCCCTCCTTGGAAGTTGCCACTGTCAGCTACTTTTTGGAACAGTGCTGCCGTAGAGATGAGAAATGTATACAGGCTGCCGCTGCCATGTACGGTACTTGGAAGAAAGTCTTGACATGGAGCCTAACGAAAAATCGGATCCATACCCCAAGCAAGAAATCATGCATCTAGCTAGGTTACGGGGTGACAGCTATAGCCGGCTACAGAACTAGAGAGCGAGCTCCTAATTGAAAATTCATTGTTTTCAGCTCTTGCCAAACTATACTAGAATGTATCTATCCAGACATGGCTCCGATGGGGTTGTCGTGGATCCTTTGGAAACTGCAACGCAAGTGGACCAAAGCATTAGGCGCGCATTGGGCTATTTGAGACCACGGGCGAATGTTGGATTAAGAGTATAAGTCATGCTGGATTGTCCTTCAAAACGTTTACCTGCCAAAGATAGCCAAGTCTTTAGAATACGGTATCAATATAGACAGATCATTGGCGTTTTGTCAAGAGCACAAGGCACAGCAACCCAAACGGAACTGAAAGAGGCTTTGTGTCAGAGGATGAAACTTCTGCTGGTTGACTTGGTCCCAAGATTTCATCACTGCTTTTGTCGCTGGCTAGGGTGGAAGAATCTGAGGCTGCAATGACAGTCGTGTTGGTGACTGTCATTGTCTTGTTTGCTTCCCACGTGAGCGCTTCATTGCCTGCTATCAATGACTTTGTTGTCGCGGTGGCAGTGCGGTTCAGGAGAGACGACTCGGATGCGGGCGTGAACGAGAGGAAGATTTCCTTTGTAAACTCGATGTAGCTGCAGGCGCTGTTGTCAGGTTGAAACACGGGCTCCGTTTCCGCCACTGTCATCATTTCTTCGCACTTCCCCGACAAGGGATACAAATTGTCGCAGATTGATGACGTGACGGTCCCACCTGCAGCAGCCGCATTGCTGCTGGTACCATTGTTGCTGACGCAAGGCAGACAGTCATTGCCAACAAGGCTTGATTGGTTTGGTCCACCGAAGAAGAGATCAGAGTAGTTTTGGAGTTCATTGGGCAGTTTCTCCTTGTTGAGTAATTCGGAAGCAACAATGGTACAAGAGTTATCCGTGAACAATCCCAGTTGAACGCTGGAGCCCCCGTCGCTGCAATAGGGTCCAACGTAGAGGTTTTCTCCTCCTGAACCAGCTCGATGTAGCCATATGCATTCCAAGAATGCCGGCGGGACGGATGATACTTGCTGATTGTCATTGTTGCTGTCTTGCGCATAATAGGGATGGTAGTACCGCAGAAATGTATGGAGATCCACCGTATATTGCCCACACATCATGTCAGAGGAACAGGAGGAGGTACGGTTGTTAGGGCACACTCCATAGTGTGCTAGGCGTCGCGTGGCCAAACGAACATCCTCATGTTCCCACGCTTGGGGATTCCACTGGTAAAAGTGTTGACATCCTTGAAACTGCAGAGCATAGTCATTCATCCACGGCTCATGCGGCGGTTGTTGGGTATTACTACTCTCCCACCAACCACCATGATCCCTACTGTAGTCCCCCAAATATCGACCATCGGTACCATCCAGTTGCTTCTTTGTTGGCTCTTGCTCAGTATTGTTGCTTCTCGCATCCATGTTGTTGTTGGAATCAGACGATGATAGCCATGAAAGGGGTGCATCCACATAAGCCCCTGCTTGGATGACTTTCAGGAACTCACAGACAGTCTGTTCCTGCTCAAGTTGATTGCTAAAGATTGTTGGGTTGGTGAGCATGCCATGATTCATTCCATGCGGGGTCTCGCATTTGGCGGCACGGTCGTAGAGATCCTCACAGGCGGGTGTCACTGTAACGGCAGAGTCCATGGACTGGTCGTCGTGAAGTGTCTGGCTGCACCGGATGCAGTTCCCATCACTATATACTTGCTTGAGCAGGGCATGACTCAGTCTCAGTTCATAGCCATCATTGTCCTTGATGTAGTCATTGAGGCTCTTGGACCAGTCCCGAAAGAGGCACTCCTCATCGGTAAAGACGGCAATGTTGATTTGGGTTCCTTGACCGGCACAGGTTGGGCCTGCATAAAGTTGCTCCAGGGCGTCGTCTTCCGGATCGAAGATCAATTGGCACTGAAGAAATTGGGTAGCATCAATATACCCATTTTCTTCCATGTTTTCAATCTCACGGCATTGATCAACACAGGTATCGCAGTCCACCACCAAGTGGTCGTGCTCTGGATCTTGTTTCTCTTGCAGTACCGGTAGAGGACAGGAATCGTAACAAATCTGGCATTTGGCTTCCTGTAGACCCTGGTAGTGCTCCACCGTAACATCCAAGTAGGTTTCCAAGTCCACGAGGTACTCTCCAAAGCCGTGCTGGCACTGACCGCACTCGTCATGGGGACACAGTCGAAACGATACGAACTGCTGTGGGCCGACCACGGTTGCGTCTCCTGTGGACGATCGTGGTGGCCAAAGGTCGCCCGTGGCGACTTCGTCATTGTACGTGCGAATCCGGTGGCACTGCTCGAATTGGACCGAATAATCTGAGAGCCACTCCACCAACGCTTGCCTACTGATGATGCTACCGCTACTATTTATAGCACTTGTTGAAACTATTACAACAGTCGATAGCAGCACTTGCAAGCTCAACATCGTCTTCCACTGGCAAGCTAGCTATACTCAGTAGCTGTTTGACAAGAAGGCGAGAGAAAGTCCCGAGGACCCAGCCAAAACGCCAAAACATTGGGGGTGCGGCGAACTGGTACTGGTAGTCCTGTCCCAGTAAAACAGTATCCAAGACTGACAATGAGCAAACAGCAGAGCAGCCAATACATCCGCTGGCCTCTGCGCTGCAATGCTCGCAGCGACCAGCCCAGCACTCCAGATACAACTAACTGCGGGCCTCGGCGTCGGATATCATACAATTCACCTCTAGAGCCCAGCACTGGATTTCCTACAACCTCTAGCCCACCATAAGATTTCCTACAACTACTGGCCCCAGCACTGCAACCCATACAAGAGTTAGCCACATCACTGGATCCCACAACAGATACTACGCTATAGTAGCCCCTTCGCTGAACAAATCCATACGATACTGAGCCCCAGCATTGGATGTTGCTTTATGGATCACCCCAGCAACAAACCTAAAATATAACTTTACTTTTACCGCTTCATCTTTATGAAAGGAACGGCCATGGAAGGCCGCTTGATGTGCGATTGAATTGATTATGGATCATGTGCGACTGACCAGTACGTGTGCCGGTAGCATACACGTATCTGAATCTATATCTACTCCGATGGCCATTCTCGTGGCATCTTCGTCATTGCACCTCGAGCTCTTTATCTTGGAACCCGTGCATCCAGCGAGGGAGGTTTGAAGGCGTCATTGTACCGTACCTACTGTTCACATCCTTCTTCCAAGCTCATTCGATTGTCTTAGGTTAGCGTATTTGAAAAGGATGACGAAGCAGCCTGTTGGAATATGGTTGGTCAGCACCGTGATCACCCTGTTGTGCGTCAACTTTGCAAGAGGCAATGATCATCTTGGTGGACAGCATTTTACAGAAGAAAGAGGAGAAACATGTCCTTCCTTGCCCTCAGTTTCCGTCACGTTTGAAATTTCAGCATCGCGGTTGGAAGACGTGTATCAATCCGCAAAGCTCATTACCCTGTCAGCCGTTCAATCTATTGATAAGCTGGTGGAGGAGAATCAGGATAACTACGACCTATTCCAGGGTTGGGCTGATTGGGATGACCGCACAATCCTCGCCAAGCTCAACGGAACTTGCTACGTGGCTTTTGGCTTTCCAGAAGGCACTCTGCTGGATCCCATTCAAAACTTGAATCCCCTTACCCAACCAGTGGGCGACTGCCTTGTTCGCCGTGGGTTCTTCGATGCTTACAATACGTCCTCTTATGCCCAAGAGTTTCGTCAAGAGTTAAACACCTGTCTAGCTTCTTGTTCCTCCAATGGGCAACGTCAACAATGCCCCTTGGTCACCACGGGATACTCGCAAGGTGGAGCTGTGGCGGTTGTAGCGACCATTGATCTGCGGCGGCATGCACCCACGTTCATTACCTTTGGAGCCACCAAAGCTATTCTTGACGATGCATCCTGTCGCAATCCTGTCGAGCAGCACCCCTGCACGGATTTTCGGGTGGACCAGCACTATCAGTTTGTCAACGTGCTCGAGGGAGATTACGAGGACCTAATCCATTTTCAGCCACTCATGTGGGACGACTCTTGTTTCTGGATGAAAACACGGACTTTGTCATTGGATCTCCTGGCTCCATCAATGGGGAAAATGTCAACGTTACGACCACCCGAAGTCCATGGTCCAACTCGGTTCATGATGCCAATCTCTATCGACAGAGAATTGAACGACTCTACAGTCAACAAAACTGTGCCCCATTGCCAGTTGCCAGGTGGGAGTCCAATCATGTCTGCCACTACAATGATGAATGCGACAGTGGACTGTGTCAAGAGGATACCAATGTTTCTTCTTAAACACGACGATGCAAGCTAGCTCCGCGGTGCCAGTAGGGTACATTACGGGACTCGTGTGTCAAGCAGAGCCATGGCCCCCGGTCAAGAGCTCAAGCTCGAGTGATCAATTGAGGGGAGCAAGGTTAGTTCCAGAGCATCATGAGATGACATTTAGAGGGCAATTTCTAAATTAGACCAGCTAGCTAGCTGTAGACTGGCTATTCTACATCCATTTTGGTGGGCTCAATGAATTGCCTATCGTTTCTTTGTACCGATAGATCAATCAGCCCCCCACATCCGTCCACAAATCAAGCTTCTGGCATGAGTTCGGTTTCGTCGTCAATATTTGGCGGTGGAATTTCCTGTTTGGCTAATCGTTCTTCTGTCGTTCGTTGATGTTTCTTGATGTGTTGGCGGTAAATGCACAAGGACAAGATGGATATCAACCATACCAATATGACGAGTCCAAAGATCATCAATGGTTTCCACGGACTGTCTGGTTCAGCCGTTTTCACAGTCAGGGTCATGTTGGCCAGCGGATTGGTGTCGGTCCAGCTACTACTACTAGTCGTAGCAGAAGTCGTAGTAGTAGTGGTAGTTGTAGTGACTTCGGTGGGTGCCGCAGTAAAATCGTCCACGGGAACACAGTATTCAAAATCCCCGGGATGAAATTGTATGCGTGTCGCCAGTTCGGGATGCGCTCGTCGAAAGACTTGTTGTAGCATGCCTTGTCGATATCCCCACAAAGTACCATTGTGCAAGAGGTCACAGACGAGTTTGGGATCTTCTCCGACCATTCGGATTCCAAATTTCGCATACGCTCGATGGCATTGGGAAAGATCGGGAGGTGGTGCATAATATGTGTTGGCGTGTTTGCCGAGGACACTGTGGGCATCCTTGGGGCCATTGCACGACGTGGAAACCAAAAAGGTGTAGACCTGGAAACTGTTTGTGTCGTAGGAAACCCACAATTTGCGGCGTTGTCCCACACCCGGGTGATTGTTGTCATTGTTTTTGGTTTTGGTGGCGGTGGCACTAGTACCGGTAGGCAATAAAGGCTGTACGTTCATGTCTTGCATGATGGTTTGTACAAACTCTGCAAAGGCTTGTTTGATTTGTTTTTTCGGCAGATGTTTAGCGAGACGTGATGTTTCTGTGGTAATGATAAAGGACACGCCCACGACCAAGTCTTCTCCTGCCAAGTTTTCTTCTTGTTTTTGTTGTCGCGGTGGTGGTACATCGTGTAGTTGTTCGGGCAGGATGCGTGCATTGGTACTAGTAGTACCGGTAGTATGACTATGACAATCACAGGTAATGTGCAATGGTAGCGGTATCCCAGATTTTCCAGAGCGTTCTGATGCAGTTGCGTACACATCCAATTCTTTTCCTTCTTTCCCCCCGTCTTGTAGTTGTAGGACAGTAGCATGAGCCACTACTAGTAGGTACTGGTCCTTGACCTCATGATTGGTAAATGCTTCAGTGGGAATGGAGAGGCTTGCCATGTCATTGCCATTGCCATTGCCATTGCCTTGGTGGTCTTGAATGGGTTTTTGGTATTCAAATTGAGTGGGATCTGCTGGAATATCTTCAGGAAACTCTTGCAAGTCTTGCAAGCCTGTTCCCTCAACTACCTGAAAATGCAGATGAAGATCCAACAACTGGAAGGCAACGCCACTGGTCTTGTACGTGGCTTGAAGGGTATCATTTACAAACTCCACACAGAATGTACCCACTGAGGCTACTGATACTACTGAGCCAATCCCTTGTTCTGACTGTGATATTAATACTCTAAGAGGAAAGCAGCTCTTCTCCACAGGCACTGCAGATTCCAAAAAGCAAAAACTATTCATAGAATCTTCCAGAGCTCTTGTTGTGCTTATGCTCACACCCAACAGCATTAGTAACAGCAACCAAATGCTCAGAGTCCACTGATTCATCATTCTATCGTGTACTTGTATCGATCCCGATAATAATGTGGATAAAGTGATAAAGTATGAGGAGGAGAGCAATGCAGCAGCAAGCTTATAAGCTCCCTGCCAGATTTCTTGATAAGTCATTGGTCGGAAAGTCGGAAAGTACTGAGCAATGTAGTGGCGCATGACCTTGAAACATGGATACTGAGACTGAACCGGCAGTGGCAAGGTACCGGCACCAGTTCCAGTTCCAGTTCCAGATAGGGATGGGGACAATAATGCACCGCGGCATTTGCCAATATGGGGGTTTAGAGTAGGGAAATTAGCTACGGAAGCCAGCCGGGGCTAGCTAGTTTCGAGGGCACCAGAGCATTCCGAGGTCTCCTGCATGGCATCTCACCAGAAATTATGTTTTGCTAGCTATAACTAACTGGCCCTCTTGCTTGTTGCATACTGTGGTTATTCCTTTCTTGGTAATGGACGTACCGGTGCCGAAGGATGTCTCAGTGTGGCCTTGTTCTTGGTAGCTTTTATTAATAGCCAGCTGAGGAACTTTCATGGCTGGCTGGGGCGATCACTTGACTTTGTCTCCAGCCATGTTGTTTGGTGCACGATGTCAAGCTAGTGTTAGTGTTGTGCCCACCGCTTTTGATGGCTTCCACCTCACCATCTACATCCAAGTCCTCCATACCGTATCCCCATCTTGGGGTGCGTGCAACAACACTCAACTCTCGTGACTCGACTCGACTGTCACTCGACTCGTGTGACTGAATGCAAAGAGAGATTGCCTTATGTCCTTATGTACCGGTATATGATAGAAAAGGAATACCGGTACAGCCCTCCGACGTCTGGAGCACGTTTGACAAATAAATGGCCATTTTTTTTTGCACTCGTCGCTCACAACAAAGAATTCCGATTCGATTCGCGTTGGAACAATCACCAAAGATCGCACAATCGAGATCATGCCCGACAATCCCAACCAAAGCAACAATAAAGAGAACAACACTATGATGCCCGCTCCTCTGCCCTGGTCCAAGCCTTTCGTCCATCCCAAGAGCACCCCTGAAGGCTGGGGCACGCTCCAATCCAGGCGTTCGTACAAGTATCTTGAGTTGTTTGTACCCAATCGTGCAGCAGAGCAGGTGCGCGACTCTGACAAGGACACAACATTGGCAACGAACAGCCACAATAACGCCAAAGATATCGAGGAATCTCCAGAAGAAGCCGAGTGTTCGGAATGGGGGCAGTTTGCACCTATCGAAGAAGAGGAGACGGAGGAGGAAGACAAGGAGCAACCCTAGCTAGTTCTTGGCTAGAACAAGGAATTGTCAATGGATGCCCAGATTGCTTGTGGGCGCCACCGGTAGCTGTGGGCGGCTGTGCTTTGAACGTTCGTGCTGGCTAGCTAGCTGGAGGGAATATGCGGAAGAAGTTCTGATCCGGTGGATTATTACCAAGCGTTGCTTGGGTACATTCTTTGTGTTGCCCCTTGGCGCCAAACGTCTCCCCGTGTATGAGGGTCCTGGGCAGTGGACTAGGCTGCTGCCTGCGTGCATACAAATATACCGAGCAACCAGCTACATACATAAGGCCGGATGTGTGCTCGCTCTGGATTGGTGGGGCACCGTATACTAGAATGGCTTCATAAATATTAGCACGAACAGAAGCACCAACTATCCATAGACAGACAGAACAGGGG